TTTTGTATTTCTGTAGAGTCAATAGTAATGTTTCTGCTTTCATTTCTAATTTTAGTCATTTGAGTCTTTTATTTTCTTAGTCCGTCCAGCTAAAAGCTTGTCAATTTTGTTTATCTTTTTGAAGAACCATCTTTTGGTTTCATTGGTTTTTCTCTTTTTTGTTTGTCTCTGCTCTAATCTTTATTATTTCCTTCCTTCTGCTGGCTTTGTATTGAGTTAGTTCTTCTGTTTCCAGTTCCTTAAGTTGTAAAGTTAGGGTGTTGATATGAAATTTTTCTTGCTTTTTAATGTGAGCATTTATTGCTACAAATTTCCACCTTAGCACTGCTTTTGCTGTGTCCCATAAGATTTGGTATGTTGTCTTTTCATTTTCAATCTCTTAAGTTTTATTTATTTATTTTTTTAGACAGAGTCTTGACCTGTCACCCAGGCTGGAGTGCGGTGATAAGATCTTCACTCACTGCAGCCTCTGCTTCTCAGGTTCAAGTGATTCGCCTGCCTCAGCTTCCTGAGTAGCTGGGATTACAGGCGTGCACCACTACGCTTGGCTAATTTTTTGTATCTTTATTAGAGAGGGGGTTTCACCACATTGGCCAGGCTGGTCTTAAACCCCTGACCTCAGGTGATCCGCCTGCCTCAGCCTCCGGAAGTGCTGGGATTATAGGCGTGCGTCAGTCACCATGCCCGGCCAGTCTCTAAGTATTTTTTAATTTTCCTTGTGGTTTCTTCTTTTAACCCTATTACTTAAACACACACATACACATTTAAAAAATATATCTACCTGCTTTTACTTATGGATCTTTGCAATTTTTGTTCTCTCTGCCTGGAAACTTTTCTGCCAAAATACCTACATGGACTTGCTCCTTTGCTTTTTAGATTCTGCTTAAATATCACCTTCAGCACAGAAACATTCCCTAACTACCCTAAAATCACAACCAACTATCTTCCCCCTTCAACACTTCCTGTCCCCCTTAACTGCTTTCTTTTCTTTCTTTCGTTCTTTTTTTTTTTTTTTTTT